GGGTGCTAGCCTGGGATCCCGAGAGGAGGGCAGGGCGCCTCGCAGCGGTCGGTCACTGGGTGGGCTTCAGCATGGTGCAGGGGAAGGCCGGTGGGGACGGGAGGCAGGGGAGAGAGTGGGAAGACTGCCCTCCGCCCCAGCGTCCAACTCCATTTGGAGTTGAAGGGTCACTCACAGTTCCTGGCAGAGGAGGGAGAAACCAGGGCCCTGGGGCTTCTTCCAGTCCAGGCCGCCTACTCAGGTGAGGTGCCTCCTGGGCTGTTTGCATAAGAAGCCTAAGAGGCCAGGGCTGTAACTCTTTCCTCCCTGTGGCCAATGCCCGGGCAGCAGGGGCGGGCTAGTCCAGATGGCCAGCCTGGGCGGGGATGGTGACCTCACCCTGAGTCAGGAGGCCCCCTGGCCTAGGGGTGGGCCCCAAGCCACAGAGGAGGAGTCTCAGGTCCCTTCCTCCCCAGCTTCCCTGGGTCCTGGAGCACCTCTTTGGAGGGGCTCAGGGGCGAGGGGGTAGAGTGCTCCAGCTTGCTCCCCTGTCCTCCATCTCTCCCCGCGCAGAAGCAGGTGCTTCGCCCTCTCCCGGTTCCTCTCATTTTCCTACTACGCCCTCAGCTGCAGAAACCAGAGGAGGGTTTAGGTTTGCCTCCTTCCCTGCTGCCCATGTCCATGATGGGCTGGGCACGTACAGGGCACTCCCTCTTTGCCTTCGGCTTGTACTGTCCTTACTGAGGGGAACAGGGTGGCCAGGCCTGAAGGCCACGCAGCTGAGACTGAGCCTGGTGGTCAGGAGGCCCGGAGCCGACCTGAATGCTGCCCCCTCCTGGCTGTGTGCCTTCCAGCCAGTCACTGAAACTCTCTGAACTTCTATTTGTACTCGGGGCAAATGGAGGTACCTTTAAGGCAGTGGTTCTCAACCTTCCTAATGCCGCGACCCTTTAATACAGCTCCTCATGTTGTGGTGACCCCCAACCATAAAATTGTTTTTGTTGCTACTTCATAACTGTAATGTTGCTACTGTGATGAATCATAATGTAAATATCTGATATGCAGGATGTATTTTCATTGTCACTGAACATAATTAAAGCATAGTGATTAATCACAAAAACAATATGTAATTATATATGTGTTTTCCGATGGTCTTAGGCGACCCCTGTGAAAGGGTCGTTCGACCCCCAAAGGGGTCTCGACCCACAGGTTGAGAACCGCTGCTTTAAGGCCTGTCTTCAGAGCTACTGGGAGGGTGAGCCTTTGAGTGAGAGCCCACGGGACCATGTTTCATCTGACCAGGCTTTGTGTCCCCAGTGGCCAGCACGGTGGCCAGCGGACACCAGCTGTCATTATGTGCTAGTTGAGTGACTGGTGAGTGACCAGGCTGTAAAATGCTGTATAGTGTAGAGACTCCTCTCATCTGGAGAGGAGGGTGGTCGCTGCCTCTGCCACCCCCTTCCCAGGGGTCCATCGACTGGATGCTGTTTCCCACCCTCTTCGAGGACTCCACGTCATCTCCATCTTCACATCCTTGCCCCTCCCCCCCGCCTTTGCGCTGGGCCCTGCCTCACATCCTTTCTCCTGGGGACCCCATCTCATCACCTACCCCCTCACCATCCGCAGCCTCCCCCTCTCCCAGCTCCTGCCCATTCACTTAGGTTCCGGGAAGTCTCCACCCTGGACCTACACCTGCCTCTGGCCACACGGCGTCTCTCCCTTCCCTGCCAAGCTTCTGCGAGTTGTCTACACGCTCAGTCCGTATCCTCCCCTTCATCCTCTGACCTCTGGCTTCAGCCACCCCCTTGACCGTTCCTGATAAGATGGCCACTGACGTCTGGTGGCTACTTCCGACGAATGTTTAATGGCCTTTATCTAACTTCCCCTTTCTTCTGGCCACTTCTCATCAGCTTCGAGCCAACACTCAGCCTGGTTTTCCTCCTTGTTCCTTGGTGCTTTCTTCCTCTCAGGCTCTTCTCTCTTCCCTTTGTCTGTCGCCCAGACATGGTACCCCAGGGCTGTCTCAGCACTCCGGTCCCCACACCCCCACTCTCTCCACACCCATGGCTCCAACATCACATGGGAAGCACCTTCTCCCCCAGCCAACTTGCCTTCCTGGAGCCCAGCCCAGTGGGGCCAGAGTGGTTTGGCCTCATTCCTTTCCTCCCCCCCTCCCCGTCACCCCCTCCCACCCCCTGCGTGCCAACTGTGCTTTCCCTCACACACCCCTCAGCCCATGGGCTGCCGAGTCCTGCTGAGTCCACCTCCCGAGTCTCCTGTCATCATGGAGTGTCCAGGAGACCATGAAGGCCCACCTCCATTCTCGAAGTCCTGCCACAGGGTCTTTTCTCAAACCCACCCCCTTTTCTCCTGAGAGCCTTCCCAGGGCTGCAGGATAAAGCCCCCATTCCCGGTGACAGAGCCCGGGAGGCCCTGCAGGCACTGCCCACCCCTCACCCAAGCCCCCATTCCTGGGCCCAGCTGCACAGGGTGGGGTGGGGCTGCAAGGCCCCAACGGTGCCACATGTCACACCTCCACCTCTGCCCGGCACCTGAGAGTGGCTGGATCACAGACATCCTGTGCCAGGCTGGGCTGGGCCTCTGTCCCCTCCTGACATCCTCCTGCCCCCATGCTGGGCCCCCGATGCTGGACCCCCGATGCTGGGCCCCCGATGCTGGGCCTCGGTCACCTTTGGATCTGAAGGCTCACGCTGTTGGGCAGGCTGGGTCCATGCATGCTTAGCGAGTGAGTAAACGGAGGGAAGGGCAGCACCTGCTTCTCCCGGCTCTTCCCAGAAGAAAACAGGCCGGCTCACCTTTCAGGAAATTCCTTCTCTAAATGCTGCCTCGCACAACTAAGAGCGGAGTGGCATTTCCTTTCTGGGAGAACCGAGGCCCCACCCCTGGAGTGGGTGGGGGCTGGGGTGTCGGGGAGACCCACAGCTGACACTGGAAGAAAGCAGGGTCACGGAGCGTGGTTTCCACTCATCACACAAGGAGGAAACAGAACCAGAGATGCTCAGCCACCTCCTGAGCTCACACAGTGGATTAGGGCCAGCAGTGGGACCGGGCAGTCTCTTCGCCAATCACCGGGTCTGGCAGGTGCCCAGCTCCTCCCCAGGAGGCACCACCACCCCCCTCTCCAATGTTCCACTGCCACTGCAGGGAGCCTGGGGACGGAGGGGCAAAGGTGCCACTCCACAGTGACCGTGGCTGCGGAGAATTTCTCAGGAGGAACCCGAATATAGGGTCTTCCCCCCGCCCCCACCTTCCCCCCTGATCCAGAGCTCTGGGGTGGTGTCCCTGGGCAGACCTGAGCGCCTGGGCTCCTCGTCCCTAGTCCATACCCTGCACACGCTCTGGGCCAGGCTCTGTGCGGGGCGCGGGGGTGCAGAGGGCAAGGCAGTCCTCCACCTCAGGGGCACCCCTCAGAGGGACAGACAGACACCCCACCATCACCAGGACGGAGAGTGCTGAGGCTCAGGAGTGCGCCGCTAGGAGTCTGCCCAGGAAACGGAGGGGCGGCGGGAGAAGAAGCGCTGGCATCCAGCTGTCTAACCCGAAGAAACTGTCTGGCAGCCAGGCCGGGCGGGCGCCGGGCACCAGGATCCCTCCGCTCCCCACCCTATCCTATCCCCCTGCATCCCCCCAGCAGGCAGGGTTCATTCCCCGCCCGCTGGATGCCGTTCTGCACTCTGGCCACAAGGGGGCGGGCTGCCCCCTGCAGAAGCCGGAGCGTGGGCGGCGCAGAGCGGGAGGAAAGGATACTAAGTGGGACCGCAGCCAGTCTTTGGTGGACCGCCTACTACGGGCCCCGCGGGTCCAAGCTCACCTCGTTGAAAGCTGTCAACAACCTGAATCCTTAGGTATTGTTCTACATTTACACACGGTAACACTGGGGCTGGAGGGTGACTCAGGGGCCGGTGACTCAGCAGAACCAAATTCGGGTCTCTGCAGTCTCAAATCCTGAGCTCTTCGCGCTATAACCACATGGGGTGGAAGAAGTACCCAGGAGCTCGCTTATGCGGACGGTGCCTCCTTCCTCTGGGCATCCCAGACTCGGTCCTGGGACTTGGCAGGGATCAGTGTTTATTGAAATGACATCGACTACAAAGAAACTATAGCCTCCTAAGTTTCAAGGGTCATGCAGCCATTCCCCCCCCCCCCCGCCCCTCTTTGGGCCAAAGGACAAACAGACCCCCAGAGGAAGCGAATTGACCATCATTACACAGCTGGTGACAGATGTCTGTGCATCCCCCTCCATTCCCCTTCCTGAAAAGTTCCTAAGTTCAAGAAGTCAGGCCGTGGGCAGATTTCTGAGGATGTAAGAGTTTTTAAAACGTGCTCTGTTTTCGATTTCCCAAATCAACATAACTAGAATCTGAAGCGAAAAAGAAAGAAAAAGCCACTATGACTGGACTTCTTTCTGAAACAAACCCATCAAGCTTCTTCTTTTTTTTTTTTTTAAGAGGGAACTGAAATGTTGGAAGGAGCCAAAAAGGGAAGCAGCCTCCTGACTGTCATATCCATTATCTCGTCTGACACCCCCCACCCCCACCCCAAGCTCCTGTGAGAAAGAGCCGGCTCAGGGCCACAACCCCCTATGTCATGCCCGATGCGTTTCTGAGTGGTTCGATTTCAGAATGATGATGCGGCGCACACACCTGATGCCGTGGGTGCGAGGCCTGGGCCAGCACCCAGTAATCAAGTTCATTCATTGGGAGCACAACCTGAATATTCACATTAAATGTGATGAATAAAGGCCACCAACGGCCTCACATGGGCTCAAGACAAATTTTGCCATACATTTTTTGTACGAAAAACCTTTGGGCTCCAGGAAGCTTTGGCATTTGGCAGATAAGAGATTGTGCGCCTGTGCCCCTTGTTTCATGGCAGAGGAGAGCGAGGCTCGGTGTGAGGGAGCTCGTCCACCCGCTGCTCCCTGCGGAGCCCGACGCTAAGTCAAGCGAGTCTCCTCGGCGGGTGCAGCCCCCGCCCCGCCTCCGCTCCCCGCAACATACCTGCTCCGGGCGCTCCTCCCGCGGCGGTCCGCGCACGTCCTCGATGGTCTCGTACGTGTTCTCGGAGTCGCTGCGCCCCAGGGGCCGCGGGCACACCCAGGAGCCCGCCACGCTGCAGGCCTTGAAGCTGCCCCGCGCTCCCCGAGAGGCCGGAGGGGCGCGGCGGCGCGCGCCAAGGTCGTCCAGGACTGTGCAGGCCTCA